AATGAAATCTGAGTGCAATGTATTTCAGCAAATATTGGGCAGATTCTGCCTACACAACATGGTGGCCACGCCCACTTGGTGGCCACGCCCACTTGGCCACGCCCCTGGCACCCGGCGATGTATAAGTGGTTGGGGGTCACCACAACATGGGGAACTGTATTATGGGGTCACGGCATTAGAAAGGTTGAGAACCACTGGATTAGAGCATACTACTATTGTTACCTCCACAGTTAAATTAAATCAGGTGTAGGAAAATGCTGAACAACTCCACCAGATCCACTGCCGGTAAACCAAAGGGAACTTTCAAATGTGACCTTAAATGTGGATTTATTTGAATAGTATAAGGAATTACATCTGCAAACCTTAGAAAGGAGTTAACATGTTTAAAATATTGATATCCAAAACATAAGAGTAGGTAGACAAATTAGTATAGCAGCTCAGGCAACTGGACCATATCATCTCCTTTTCAAACTTGCACGGAGGCTAGTTTTGCCTTGCCTCCTACCTTTTTTCCAATGACTGGCCAGTAAATTCCCTTCATGATTGCAGTTTTTATTTTTCAAATTACAGACAAATATACACTTCCTCCCAATTCTTGTTTTTATCCAATTAGGAAAAAGAATCCCTTATTACTACTGAAGCAAAAATAGAGGATGTATAGGATCAAAAAACCCAATAACAAAATAACAGCAGCAGCAGCAACGACAACAATAATAACAAAAAAACAACAACTGGCCAATCAAGAATTGATTTAAGTCCAATACTTTCCCCCCATTTTCATGCTTCCTGACAAATCTAGAAATTGAGAAAAATTATTCTAATATTACCTATTGATTTTAGACAATCTTTACAATATTAAGTCAGAGTCCAAAAATCCAATGATACCATTTATTATCTCAACAATCAGACTGTGGAGAGATTATCTCCAAGCAAAAGTTATGTGTCATAGCCCTGAAATCTGTCCCAGATTTCTATCATGGCTCATGGGCCTCTCTGGGATCAGAATAACCTAATCTCATCCAGATTATAGTTCCATCTGCCTTCTTAAACCCTGTGCTGATTCTCTCATTTCTGTTTACACATTCACTCAACTTGGCAGTCAGCAGGACATCAAACCTAGCAAACTGATACCATGTTTCCCCAAAAATAAGACCCCTCAACAAGATGCAAGCACCCACCTTGCTGCTATTGTGGCCACGTTTTCCATCCACGCCATGATCTGCCCACCAAACGTGTTTCCCTGATGGTTGGCATGTGGGGGTAAAATGAGTTCCACGCTTTCCACTCTGGTCTTTTCAGCAGGTACGGTCATGTTGCATTCTCTGTTCTCAAGATCTATTAGGGGAAAAAGATACGTTCCATCAGAGGTGTATCTGTACAGGAGCAACCTTCTCAGGGTTAAACTATCAGGTAGGCACTTGAAGTAATGTCCAGGTTTCTTCCTTCATCCTCCACCTCCATTTTGTGTAAGCTTTACTTGGCGGAGAGGAAGAAAGAAATTTCTGTCGACCTGCTATCATAGATAGCAAGTGGTCAGTAGTATCTAAAGCTGCAGGATCCAATCTGGCTGGAGAGAAATTCCTTGAAGATGGGCTCAGCACGAGCCTGAATGCGCAGAAGACTAAATCTCTGGTCCCAGTGACCGACCCACATTGGATCCTGCAGCATTATCCTGGGACATGTATATTCACCTTCATTAGTGAGTAACTAAAGCATCCAACTTAGAGGTTGTGTACTTTCTACTCACTTAAGGATTCACTGAAGCATACAGTTGGACTAGTGATACTTACACTTTTGCATGTGACTATATCTTTTGCATATCTTCCTATTCTCAGTTTTAAATTACAATCTGGATTCAACTTGTTGTGGAATTCCAAGGCTGCATGTTGCGTCAAGCTGCATATCCCTGAACTAAATGAAGCAAGCAAGAAGCAAGAAACTACCCAAAATATAAAAGAGAGCTATGACTATTGCTTCTTCTAATCTATACCATGCTTTTCAAGCAGCCTCTCTCTGGCATTTCCATAGTTACATCAATTTCTCTTTTGGGCAATGAATGGGCTAGAAATCATGTCTGCTTCTTATTGCTGTTTAGTGCTTTATGATTATACTCGTTCCATTAATTCTACCCCTTGCAACACAACAGGTGGAATTAATGGAACCAACAACCTCTTGTACTGGGGGCTTCCTGAATTAAAGCTACTGGCAATTAAGATCAGCTCTGCAGCTCAGCTGATCCAAGGTATCTAGCAGGGCTGTTGGCATCATTGCTCACTTTCCTGAAATAGCTTGTCAACATCAGTGAATGGATTCCAGGCCAGAGATGAACATCCTGTCCATTATAAGTGTGACCCTTTCTGGATTCAATAACTATAGGCCAGAGGTAGTTTTTTAATAGCACTTTCCACTATGACAACCACATGGATGAGCTGTATGGAATCCTTAACTACCATGTTTACTAGGAGATGCCACCAGAAATACTGTTCTTTGATTGTAAACAAGAAGCAATAAGGTCAAAAGATTATCTCTGCAATGCAATTCAACCATTTTCTTCTTTCTAGCAGCAAACATACAATCATAGTTTCATGTAATTACTACCATAGGAAAACTCGGTGCACACCACGTACATATCATAATTTGAAAAACAGGTGGTAGCATGCATGCATTTTGTAAAAATGCATGTTTTGAAACGAAGTAGCTGCCCTTTCTTATAAACCCAAAGTTTCAAACATCAAATGATGTTTATTTATTTATTTAAGAAAAATCCCCGCCCCCAACTCATTCTCAGTGACTCTAAAATCCCAATACAAAAACAATAACCCACCACCCTTTTGGTGACAGCGATCAAATAAGCCATTTGATAGGCTTCATATCACACTGGGGTTCCCAGGACCCTTGGCTGAACTATACCTTCAGGGCCTTGCACAAGAGTGTCAAAATGAGGGGCAATTTTATCTCTGCAGGGGTGATGCTTCACAGGGAGGGAGCCACTACAGAGAAGGCCCTTCTTAGTCCTGTCAGATGGACCACTTTAGGAGAGAGGACCTGTAGGATTCCCTGCCTTCCTGCTCTGGTGAAGCAGGTAGATTTGATTGGGGAAAGATCGTCCTTCAAATAACCTGGTCCCAAGCCTCATAGTTTTGAAGGTGACAAACAGCACTTTGAATTGGACTCGGAAGCAAATGAGCAGTCAATGCAGCTCCTGCAGGAGAGGTGACACATGTGCAAATTTAAGCTTGCACAAAAACCTGCGGACCACCAAATTTTGAACCAATTAAAGCTTCTGAATACTTTTCAAGAGCATCTAACATCTATGCTGCTTTCAAAGGATGAGTGCCTTTGAGTCATTATTGGCTCCTGAAAATCGCCTGCACTATTTCCTGCAATTTTCTTGGCAAGATTTTTAGAAGTGGCTTGCCATTGCCTGCTTCCTAGAGCTGAGAGAGAGATCGACTGGTCCAAAGTCACCCAGCCCAAGGCAGGAATAGAACTCTCGGTCTCCCAGTTTCTAGCCAATGCCTTGACCACTACACCAAACTGGCTAAATATAATTACCACCAGTACAAACAAGGAAGACTAGTTTAATATACTGAAATGAACTTGCATAAACACTGAATTCCCCATGCATCTATGGGTGTTCCTAATGATCAGTGAATGCCATGCTTTCCAAATGTCCAACAGGGGTAAGCTCATCTTTCTGCATTTTGAATTGTTTGAGTTTTATTTCCTGAACCAGAGCACACCTTGCCAATTCAAATATTGACCAGACTGGCTCCCCACATAGGGATTTATTCATAGCAATGAAGTGTTTTAAAATGATAAGAGATAATGTAAAATGAAGTAAAATGAAACAAAGCCAAGCTAACCCATGCCATGCAACCAAAGCCCTAGAAAGAATGCTAAATATACTCTACCAGCCTGCACAGGGCTCTTAGTAAGCAGCTCTTTTATTGTATCCGTGTGCACCAGTCGCATACGGCGACGTTCAGCAGCAATGCTGTATTCCGTTTTCTCCTCTTCTGTTTTAGGATCCAGGGGCTTCAACTTTATCTAAGAGAAGGAGAATACATAACATTCCTCTTACTCTAGACCAGGGGTGTCAAACTCGCAATGTCACGTGACATATCGCGACGTATCGCGACTTTTTCTCCACTGTCGGCAATGGGGTGGGCGCGGTTTCGGCATGATGCATCCGGCCTGCGGGCCGGCAGTTTGATGCCCCTGCTCTAGACCATTTGCTTGTCTTAAGTATCACAGCCCAAATCTGCCTCACACTCACGTAGGCAAATAACTGCCTTGCAGATTAGTTGAGCTTAGAACTTCAAAGCTTACATACTCCGCCTCTCAAATGTACTTCACACATTCTTTGGTTGTTTCCCTGTATAGGTTCTGTACTTCGATTTCCCCCCCACTAGCAAAAGCTTTAATAAGGAGGTTGGGCTAGAAGACCTCCAAGGTCCCTTCCAACTCTGTTATTCCTGTTTTTCTGTTAAGATTCAGGGAATTTTAGAACTGGGCCGTGATCAGTGATCTGGATTTAAAATGGAAGAGGTGACTTGGAGCATGCATGGATATGTACCTAGCACTGGCCAGCAGTACCTACTTAAATCAATTGTATCATTTTCTGGGATCAGACAGCTCCTACTGTATGAGCCCAGAAAAAGCTACAGCTGACAGGTATTATCTGAGAATTCACAATTGTTCCAAATGGAGATATTCAACCTAGAAATAAGGAGAAATTTCCTGACTGTGAGAACAATTAATCAACAGAACGACTTGCCTTCAGAAATTGTAGGTGCTCCAACAGTGGAGGTTTTTAAGAAGAGACTGGACAGTCTTTTGTCTGGGATGCTATAGGGCAATGATGACAAATCTTTTAGAGACCGAGTGCCCCAAAACTCTGTAATTCTGTATTCTATAAACCACTTTTCTATTTTTGAATTGGGATCAATGCATAATCCTAATAAATATTCTATTCTGTTGAATGGAGTAAAAGATTGGAAATAATTTTCAAGTATCACTTTTGTGAGATGAAGGGGTTTCTTAGCGGGTAAATACCTGGAAAAATTAAATCCTCTTCCTGTACAATTGCTTTTTGTTACAAAAAAGGACATGCCTTATCCTGAGCACAATATTAAAACTTGCTGCTAACATAATATGTAGTTTGGCTTTGGTATGCCCAGATATGTTACTTAATGCAACTTCAAAAAGAATTATTGATTTGGCTGCATATGAAAGTACACATTAATAATGATGGGATGACAGAAACACATCCAAGCAATTTGTGGACAGAAAAATCTGCCCCTGTAGAAGAGATATGGCTTACTTAAATCTTGAGAGGTCTACTTTGTATGGCTCCCCATGGTCTGCCAGTGTGTTTTAAATTCACAAATCAAGTTTATAACAGTGGTGATGCTTGAATTATAAAAAGGTCCTGGTTACAGAAACTATATATATAAGGCACATCGATGTTTGTAAGTTATGCTAGGTAAAGTAAACGGAAGTACCGGTATCTTTTGAGTTGGGCCCACTTTATGATCACTTCATGGCAGGGCTTTTTTTGTCATAGAACGCTCAGAACGGAGTTCCGGCACCTTTTTGGGATGGAACCTTATAGGATAGGCAAGGCGGGTTGTATGACATGTGTGAGTTCCGGCACCTTTTTTTTTCACAAAAAAGCACTGCTTCATGGTATATCCATGTAGTTCCCTTGGTCAAATTAAGAAAGTAAACTGCCACTTCCTTCTGGAATTCTTTTTGCTTCCAAGTGTAACCTTTGTGTGTAGTATTTCTAATGTTCTTCTTCCAACTTTTAACCAGATTTATCATCTCAAGATCAATTAAGATACTTCCATCTTGCTGGGCAAAGATTTGGGTTCGGCTTGATTCCAGATGTTCATATAGTTTTGACTCAAAATTTGTAAGTAGACTGCCATTGCTTTCTTTGGGATTTTTTTTTCAACTTCCTGGTCTAATCTATAACTTTAAGGTTTGCTGATGGCCTCCACTGAAATAATAAACAGATCTAACTCAGCTTAGGTTTTTTTTTCAAAATCTAAGACCTTCTTTATCTTGTAAATATCTTTCTGGAAACAAGGTGCCCAGAATCTTATGCTGTACTCCAGGTATAGTCTCACTAATGCCAAGTAGAAAGGAACAACTTCATATTTCTTTGATACTCTAATGCAGGGGTCTTCAAACTTGGCCCTTTTATGACTTGTGGATTTCAACTCCCAGAATTCCTCAGCCAGCATGTCTGGCTAAGGAATTCTGGGAGTTGAAGTCCACAAGTCATAAAAGGGCCAAGTTTGAAGACCCCTGCTCTAATGCATTTGATTTTCTACTTCACCCAGTACTATGTTAGCCCTTCTAGTAGTGTCTCACAGTGCTTGTTCAATTTTCAGTGACCACACCTAAATCCTTCTCAGATGTAATGTTCCCAAACCATGGATCCCCCTTCTTGCGTGTGAATCCTACATTTTCTCTCCCTAAATATAACACCTTAATGGACAAACTGATCCTCTCAGTCTTCCAACCTGTCCAGATTACACTTCAATCTTATTTTTTTTTGTCTTGGGCATTGGCCAATCCTTCCAATTTTATATCATTCACAAATTTCATAAGTACTGATAAAGGAGAATATTTGCAACTCAGGGTTGAAATGAGCAGTTGTTGGTGCTCTCTGAGCTTGGTTGTTTTCTTGCAGACCTTTCATTAGCCAAAATAGGTAACATTATCAATGCTAAATTGCTGGTGCTAGTACTGATGAAGTTACCTAGTTTGGGTAATGAAACATCTGCAAGAAAACAACCAAGCTCAAAGAGCACCCAGCACCCCCCAAATTTCATAAGTTGCCTATCAGTCCTATCATTCAAATAATTTTTTAAAAAATGTTGAATAATGCTGGCCCCAAGACAGAACCCAGTGGAACTCTACTTGTCATTGCTCTCCAAGCTGTTGTAGGTCAGGGGTCTTCAAACTTGGCCCTTTTATGACTTGTGGACTTCAACTCTCAGAATTCCTCAGCCAGCGTGACTGGCTGAGGAATTCTGGGAGTTGAAGTCCACAAGTCATAAAAGAGCCAAGTTTGAAGACCCCTGATGTAGAGTCATTCATGCTGACTGTTTAGTTTGGTTCCAAGAGGGATTTTGCTTTATTTTTACTTACTACAAAATCAAAAGAAAAAAAGCAATGCAGCAACAGCAATATATGCGCACGCGCGCACACACACACAGTCCTCACTTAGCTCTACACTACACAGGAAAGAATTTCAAGATGTTATTTGTATATAGCTGTACTATTTTCAGTGTAACCTTATACATACTTATTTTCAAACAATTTTCATCATAGCCAGACTTCCTGCTTCATAAAGATGCAAGGAGTTGCAATCTTGGCATAGTTTACAAGTACTGTGCAATCAACTTTCATTTGCTATCACCCCATCAATCAAATCACACTGCCAATATGTTTGTCACTCTGCACCAACCTATACATCCTGAAAATAAATGAGCAACAGCATCCTATTTCAGTATTGCAGAACTCTTTTCAGAAATGTAGAAACTAACAAAGCACCAAGCTCACCTCAGCTGATCTCAAAAAAGTCTGCAGGATTAGTACTGATTAATAAATGGATGGGAGGCCACAGAGAGATATACTCAGCTGGAAAATCAAAAAGTATCTTGGGTCAAGTCAGTGGCAAAGCATTCTGGTATACAGCCAAGAGAACTGTAGGTCTGGGTCCATGGAGTCACTATAATCGAATCATAACTTGATTCGAGGATGTGTTTAATTTTTTTTAACTTGATGAGCTTATAAACCACAGAGGAGTTAAAATATCTTGATGCTCCCTGCATTACCCAGCAGTGAATAAATCAGGGTTTTAAGAAGGCCCTGAAGACCTGGTTCTTCACTCAGGAACAGAGCCAGAAAGTCTGATGATTTTTGCTGTCTGTTTGAGTTGTGCTGTCTGGTGCAATGTTTTGTGTTATCCGATTTTACCACTTTACCATTTTCCTTTGTCAATACTATTAATTATTTTAAACCTTGACAGCGACCCAGAGAAGTGGGCAGTTGTATGAACTGAGTGAATAAATAAAATGAAAACAGATACTGTGAAACACTGCCGAAAAAATAAAAACTAAGGCTATTTCTTGTAAATAAATGTTAAGGATCACAATGTAATCAACTTCCCCGTACTTTCTTCCAAAGAAGAGAGAGAGGGAGAGAAAGAAAGCGGTGAGAGAAGTTAAGTACTTCTTTGGTTCCACACCTACCTTAGCAGTTGGCTTGCTTTGAGCGACAAATGTTGCATATGCCTTGCACACACTCCATTGATTACCATTGCAGAGATCCTCACAGCTGACCTGCACCCCTACCTGAAAACCATGGCCAGGAGAAAAGATGAAAATCCTCTGTGAGAGAGGCTGATTCTTAAAAAGAAAAAGGCCCTGTATCTATTAACAATCAATCAATTAGGAAAGTATTACTGTTCCCTTCCTCAAAGGACTACTTTGTACCACCTGACGGGATTGCACTGCTCACTATCTTTGTTTTGTTCCAATGTTTAATCCAGTTTGGGCAATTCATACTTCTGAATATTTAGAAGACAATAGGCAGTGCAATAATTGTGTTCTATCTACTACCATTTTCTACGCCGATGAATTACCAAAGTTCGTTCCCTGAGGCAGCAAAACAAAACAAAACCTGACATCCCTTAGATCAAGCTGTTCCTTTCGCCTACAAAGGAAGCCAAATTGCAAATAAAAGGAGTGGAAATGCCCCCCTTGAGCCTGCAGAGACACTTGTGTATTATTACAAAAAAGCAATCAAAATTAGAAGGAAAAATTAACATTAGGAGAGGGTTATGCAAGTTCTGTACACGGCGTAGCACAATCCTTGTCATTCAGGGAAGTGTTGTTCTTCTGCTTTACACATTTTCAATGAACATTCTCAAAGTTCTAGTCCGTACAGAGGATAATATCATGACTCAAAGACAATAGGCAGTGCAATAATGGAGGACACTGAGCTTTTACAGAGGACATGAACAAATGTAAGAAGAAACATGCTGGCAGTTCCTGGGTTCCTGATTTTTCCACCCTGATTAGTGCATTAATAGTGTATACCTGCACTGGCAGGGAATTGGGTAAGATGCTTATTGTGGTCATAAGTCGAGGACTACCTATGTAAGCTGAAATCTCCTTCCAGTCTCCTGTGTTGAATGAGAGTAAGAAAAGGCCCTGGAGGTTGAGCCAACATGTTCAGCCTTATATCTGTGTGTGTTTGGGTGTCCTGTTCAACTTGGAAAGCACAAAGAGAAACAACTTCCTGCCAAAGTGTGGACACTGTCCCTAAGAGCCTCAGATCTTCTCCCAATCCACCTGAGCAAACAGGTTGTTTGTATTTGTTATGTTAGCGATTCTTAAATATTCCACAAAATAGTAACCTAGCGATTTTGTTGTTAAATTGCAGGACGTACAGAAGCAAATCCAAAAGCCCAAGTAGATGAGTTAGATACAGTTTTGATTAAATACAATGCTGCTGCGTGAATCTCAACAACTGGCTTTGGAGTGAGAAATGCACAAACTGTATTTCAACTGCATCGAAGTTACACACCAAGCAAAATGGGACAAATCTGACCTGCTTTCTGGCAAAACTCTTTTTCCACTGACAGGATGCTCGATATGGAATATATACACTTGTACCACTCTTTACAACTCTAAAGATACCCATGAACCAGCTGGATACAGTGGAGTCTTAACTTTTTCTAAAAATTTGTCCCAATGTTCTATTTCCTTCCCAAGAAACATTTCCATGATGCTCTAAAATCAAGTTGGCAATAGGATGAATTGATTATATTATTTTAGTTATTCCGCCCCTATTTGCCATTTTATTTGCAACCGTTCTGAGGTGTACAAATCTGAATTTCTTTTTCATTCTCCTGTTTGTTAGCAGTGCTAGTTATTAATGTTGTTAATGCTAGCTTTTGGTTTCATATGGAGTTGGTTTTACAAGTGTTCTTATAGACTAACAAGTGTCTCAATCTTTTTGACTTATATTGGGGAAGAGTAATTAATCAAATCAAATCAAGTCAATGACATGCAAGCAAACAAAGCTCATTCTTTGGACTGCAATGAGTTTCACTCTGAACCAATGTATGGGCCAATCATCTGATAGAAGTGTCCTAGGAACAAGTGGAATTCAGATGTACTTCCATAAGAAAATGTAGACATAGTGTAGCCAATATCTCATTTCTGCAAAAGAGGTAAAAAAAGCCACTGAACACCAGCAGCTTAGTGCCATCACATCGATGAGTACCTTGGGGTTGCAAAAATGAGAGAGCACGGTCAGTTGTCTATCTTTGGCTTGAAGATGCAACCTCTGTATAATCAACTCTAAGTGGACAATTCAGAAGCATGTAGGGAAGAGTTTGGACAGTTATTGGGGCAAAAGATGCAAACTAAAGATGCATAGCTTCCAAAGGTCAAGGCAAACAGTCACCCAAGACAGTGTTGAAGCATACATACCTCCATGCTAGAATTAAATGCTCGGTTCACTTTAGCTTTGATGTTGACAACTTGCCCCACGCTAGGAATGGGAGAAAAAATGAAAAGTAAGATAAAATTCTCCAAAATGCCATTGATAGAAAACATATTGTAGTTCTAATATGTAACTGATCTGAGTGGGAGATACTATTTTACAAACATGTTGGCAAGCTTTGTTTGTTAAAAAAAAAAAAAAAGGCTGTGAATCTGAACACTTCCCAATGGTTGTCTAAAATCCACACACTTAAAGTAATTCTTGCAGACATCTAGACAGCAGGATTAAAATACTGTTCTGGACAGACAGGAGACTTGTGGATAAATATAATTTTATTTATCCTTTCTCCCAAATGGAAGACTTTGGCAGCCAAGAGTTCAAGGGCTTTTGGGTTCATTGGTTAGGATATAGAGATAAGATTTCACATGTCGCTAAATATACACTTAGTCACGTCTGATACTCAGTAAATGAAACAGAACATGCAGTCCCTCGATTGTGTTCCTAGACTCACAGATGTTCAGGTTTCATTCAACTCTCCTAACCAGTATTGGCTTTCCTTCAACTTTCAGTTGCCTAGTGTAGAATCAAATGGTGAAGACATCAGCACCTTCATTAAAAGGATTCTTCAAATGATATTTCATTCCAACACATTTTGTTACATGAGTTAAGGTGAGACCACAAAGATTCACTGGGTGACTTTGGGTCAATCATGCTTGAACCACCCATCACCCTGTACAGTGATGGAATGAAGGGAAATAGGAGGAGGGCATGCTACCTTGAGCTAAATTAAAAGATGGGATATAAATCGAGCCAATAAATAGTAAAAATAAATAAACCCTGAATAAATTCATAACGTTCACTAAACTCACCACAACAATTAATACCGGAGAATAAAGACTGCAAGCTACTTTTTGTTCCCTAATCATTGAAGAACATAAAACCCATCTTAGCATGTCCTCAAGTGAAGGTTAACTACAGGCAATCCTCGACTTACAACCACTCATTCAGTGAGCATCTGAAGTTACAACAGCACTGAAAAAAAATGACTTATGACAGATTTTCACATTTACAACTGTTGCAGCATCCCCCTGGTCGTGTAGTCGAAATTTGGATGCTTGGCAACTGACATGTATTTATGACGGTTGCAACGTCATGGGGTCATGCAATGCCATTTGTAACCTTCCCAGATGGCTTCCAACCAGCAAAGTCAGCAGCACAACTCACTTAACAACTGCTTCACTTAGCAATGGAAATGTTGGGCTCAAAGATGGTTGTAAGTTGAGGACTACCTGTACCGCTTTAAGAAGGATGAAACATAAATGGAGCATATATGGAAGATACAAAATGTTTTAGATAATAAAGCCAAACAGACAGTGAACTACTAATGAAATCAAAAGGACTATTCAAAACACTTAATATATTATTTGATCCATAAGGCAGAATGAAAATTGAATTAATGGGATATAGAGCAATGCACTTTTATCTATGTTAGCCCTCACTCTGTAAGAGCTGTTTCAGGTTTTGCAGAACATCTTCCCCTTTAGTTGTAAATTCTTTAAAAATAGGATACACACTGAACACAATCAACAATGAAGTAAGTATGATTTAAAAAAACTAAACAAAAGTGAAGTGATCTGGATTATAATTCCCCTAGTAAGTGACTTCTTTCTGTGCTAGTTGGGATGTCTAAGAAACTTAGTCCAAAATGGTAGCCGAACAACAGTTCACCTATCCAGATTCTACCCAGAGTAAACCCAACAATTTGTTATTTCTTATGGCTTAATTTGCTGTGCAACTGAGCCATAGTTTGTATAAAGAAGCATGGTTAGCATGGGATGTTAATGCAGTTATAGTTCACTTAAGTAGAACTTACTCCCAGAAAAATGCACACCAAAAAAACCCAGTCATTATCTTTCCTTCTATGCTCCTTCCTATTTCCCAGAAAAATTATAATACATGCTACATACAAGCTGTAGGACATAATAACTGAGCTATGTGTCCATCAACTGACATCAGGGAATGCACTGATATGACAAACAGGTAGAAAATGTAATATTCCATAATTGCGCTTCAGCTGAGCAACGTACTTTGGATGATTTGATCATTAAAAAAACATTCCAAAGAAGCTTGACTCTTCTCTAGAGTTTAGATAAAAATGAACAACCATTGTGGGCCAACTGACTCATCTTTTTCATGTTTTAGTTATACCCTAGAAAAAGGAAACCACTTCCATTTTAGAGCATCAGAAGGAAGAAGGAAGTCAAACACATCCATAAAATGAGCTCTTCATTTGGCGACTGCATGATTTCTAGGAGCTAAAATAATAGGTGAATAAATTTTTCAATACTCGACTTAAGACTGTAATGGAGCCTGTTCATTAGTCATAAGTCCTGATGGTCATAAAATTGGTTATTCACATGATCGACCCAATTTTATGACCTTTTTTGTGATGGTTCGCTAGGAGTTGGTTTTGCCAAAAACTGGAAATAAATGTTGGTTTTCAGAAAACCATCATAAAATGTGGTTACATGATTGTAAGATGCTGCAAACAGCAATAAATGTGGGCTAGTTCTGAGAGCCCAACATGTGGTCACATGAGGCACCTGACCAATGGAATTGGATTATAAGTACTACCAGGAGGTCAATTCTAACCTCAAATGGTCACTAATTGACCATGAGTTTCACAGTCACCTATGTGCCCACAATTAGTCAGTTTCTTTTGGAGTCTAGACTCAAGGAACATCGACAAGATGCAGAAAATGAGTAGGGACATTTAGCTATGCCAGAGCAATAGTGGGTTAGGAGACCAGCAGCCTATTCTACTGTATAAATGTGTACTGCAAAGGTTCATACCAAACTTCATTCTTTCCATATGAGTACCAAGGAGAATCTATAAGCATCTGTCTGACATAAAAGTGGGAGAAGAGAAAACCGAAAGTGTGAAAAAGAAGTCACATATCACAATAAAAAGATGCTCTCCATAAAACAGTTTCAGTAGGATCCAAGGTATGTTAAAATTTCATCAAGGAATAACAGAATTCCATCCATAGTTCTGATAACATTATTGGGGCTATGATCTGAAGGTTCCACACATCAGGTAAGTTTACTGAGTGACACCCTATCATCCATTGTCTAGTGTCTCTTCCTTTAAAATTCTGCCTAATGATTACTTTGTCAGTGTTTTACTTTCTTTAGGTGCCATACCTTGTTTCATTTTAGTGCCAGATCATGAATCAATAAGAATGTATTGATGGGAACTACAAATTTTAAACTTGGAATAGTTTTTCCCCCCAATTTACACTATTCAAAAAGATATTTTCAAATATTTGATGCTTTTAATATTCATTTTCTGCTACGCAAACAGGGATTCATGTGCATTATGCTCTATGGCTATCTATTTTGGGATGTTACTCAAGAGAGCTGTGGTAACAAATAAAGGAAAGGAAAAGGAAGTATCAATTAAAAGAAATAATCCATTCCTACAAGAGTATTATGTTAGGCTGCTCTTAAAGCTGTATTAGATTATTTTTGTAGGGGAAAAAAAGATGAGGAAGGTATTAAAAATATGCAGAGAAAATGGTAGGAATGCCCATTTCAATTTTGCTTATGTTCAACCATATATCTATTCAAATATCTACATCTTTTAATTGTTCACTGGTAAAGAACTGACTTTACAGGTAGTCCTTGACTTACAACAGTTCATTTAATAACTGTTCAAAGTTACAACGGTACTGAAAAATGTGACTTATGACCGTTTTTCCCAGTTACAACTACATACAGAATGTTGCTGGTACAAGCTCTGGGTTTTTCAAAAACACCAGTAAATAATTCCATGCTAGATAAGCAAACAGTCTGACCCAAGAAGAAATAGCTTCCTATGTCTCCTTTATGCTGGAATAAATACAATTGCTTAATTGAAGGAAAAATGGACTCTTGTTAAAATGCATAATTACTCTCAGTATCACCAAAACACACCGGAACTCCATATATGGGTGTTGTTTCCTTCTCAATGAGAAAAATATTAAAGCTGTATCCTGTGTTCCAAAATCATCCTTTTCTACATATATGGTCCACGACAGCAAAGACAGCATGTTTTCAATGGCTGAAAACATTTTTCTGGAGAAATAACTTAAAACCTTTCCAAAATGGATCCCTGCAGTTCAAACAACCCTGTGGTTCTCCTGTTCTTGGGAGAAGCCTACACGAATGCCTTTCAACATTAAGAAAAGCCAAAGACCATCATTGTTTGCACAGTATTCTAAATGAAGAACATAAAATGCCACCACAGTTGAAATCCTGTCCCACCCTCCTGCTTAACTAATAGGTCACATGCACATTTTTTTCTTAAAGTTATTCATTGGCTCCATGACTGAGAACTGGCAAAGTTATTCAGACTGTAAAAAGCTAATTAATGTGATACAATTTCTTCTAGTTTTGCAAAGCACCAGGAAACATCTATTCAAAAGCCAGTTGAACAGCAAAAGGCAAGGAAGTGAGGCAGTTACCTAATTGTGTGCTCAAAATAGATATCATCCACTGAAGCTGTGACGCAGGGGCAGCCTGCATGCCTCTCAGCTGAAAAGATAAACAAACCACATTAGTTATGTACATCATTGCACCAAAAAGAGCCCTTTTTTTCTTCACTGTAATTAGGTTTAGAATGGGAGGAAAAATCCTAGCTGCTGGAGCACAATCTACCCCATGGTATACATTGTAAGAACTATGGGGTCCAATACACAAGGCTTCTCCAGAAAAGAGGATTTATGGGACCGGGAAAAATTCCAGGCACGTGAATACTCTGTTGCCCAGAAAGCTTACTGATGAAAGGCCACTGAATCTGAAAAGAGGGTTCAGCTTTTTTGCAATGCCAACTCCAGAAAATGCATTGCTAGCTTTCCAACACTTCTTTTATTAAAAGGTTGCCCACCTCTTCTAAAACACTGATTATTTCTACAGTTTTATGGGCAGTTCTAACTTGCAAGCCCTAATTTCATTTCACAGGCAGTTGTCTAAGAACTGTACAGGAAACTGTATAAGAACAGCCTCTATCAACAGATGTGTTAGATCCCATTTAATGAGAGAACAGTCAAAAGCTATATAACTATTTTAACTGCCATGTTAAGGGACAATTTTAATTAACAATGCTTGGTGGGAGTAAAGAGGAGCTTCCTCATATACAGCATACCCTGCTCTTCAGAAGATTGTTAAATATGGCAGAACAGTAGGAACCTAGTCTCACTACTTCTTTCTGACATAATTATTCACCTGACAAGATTCAGGAGCCAGGCTAAAGATGCAGACTTGCTTTTATTCTCTGTTGCAATCCAAATGCCAGTTGACAGTTTCAGAATTCTTGTTGTTAAAGATTTTAGTGGCAAGTAAATGGCTGAGATTTGTATCTTTGGTTCAAGTCCATAGCCAGCTAATCGTATCAACTGGATCAATCAATTCTAACCCTTTGGAGACAGGAGGTGTGCCCAGGCTCTGATTAGAGATGGAAATTGGCAAAAGTATTTGGGTTATAGAAAACTGCAATTAATGGGAAAATGTAACAGAAAGCCTATTCCGACCAGATTTAATTTGAAAAAGGAAGTAATTAATAGCAACAACGATGAAAATGTTGGTTTAGATGAAATTGAAAGCAGAGAACGTTCTCTCAGGAAGCTTGGAGGCTTATTGTCTCAGTTATATACACTATATGTGTGTGTTTAATCACTGCTTAGAGAGTGCCCCAAAATCAACATGGTTAAATAGTAATATGAAAGAAACTTAAGAGTCCAAAGCTGCTCAAATGTTTTCTTCCCAGAGGTTTCTCTGGATCCTCATCCTATACAACTTTCTTCTACTACATCATAGAAGACTGCTAATAACTGACTTCTGGTTTGCCATCGGGGCTGCTGCGGCCGCTGGAAGGCAAGCTCTGTCTTCTGCGTTTGGTTTCTCTCTGCTGGGGGACCCTGGAAAGGGTCGAGAGTCACCCTGTAGGGGCGACAAGCAAGGAGGGGATCCCCACTTGATCACAGGAGGGCGGTAGCCCTTCCGCTCGATCTGGGGCATCCCTCCAAACTGGCTGACAAAAGACCGGCCATAGAAATATGGCTCATCATTAGGCTGCAGACAGCCGAAGTCAAACTTACCACCAGGCACTTCTAAAGCAGCGCGGATGAGACTGAGTGAGATCTGAACCTCTCTTCAATCCCAAGTATTTTCTTTTCCTGTAAAAGCTGCCCAAAGCATCTTCTCCCCTGTGAGAGGGAAGGGAACTTCTATCCCACCCTCTAAGAATAGTGGCGACTGACTATCCAGGGGAGTTAAAACACTGAAAGAATAACCTTAATCTAACTGGATTTAAATGCTTCTAAAATTTGGGAACCAAAAGATTTCTTATCTTTACAGAAGACTTTGGTTTTTATTTACAAAAAAGAAATAAAATTGTAAAAAAAGGATTATAAAAATTTTGGACTTAAAAAACCTTAAATGGCATCAGTAACATCTTGTGGCCAAGTTTGATATTACAACTTGTTATTGTCTAAAGGAGACTTGGCTTGAAGCCCAGACTATAGATAAGACTTTTTCAACCTTGACAAATACCAGCTGTGAGAAGCTCAGCTGTGTCCTATACCCAGTTATAAAATTATTTTCATTCTCTGACTTTAAAGCCCTCAACTTAACACACCATCAAGAGAATATGGATGAAGACCAGGAACAGATTCTTTTTATGTTGAAAGCAATACACGAAGCCATTCTTTCAGTTTGTGATGAAATACAATACTACAGAAAAGAACAAGATGTCAGTCTAGATATACGAACCCAAATTTTGACCATAATTAAAGAATCAACTACGCAGAAGATAACAGAAGAAGTGGAACAATTAAATACTATGATAGAGGATTCAACTGACCAACAAATAGTCAATGGAAAATCCAGAAAAGGGACTGACAACACTGAAAATGGAAAAGAATTTCTATATAAATTAGAAGAAATTTGAGGAGCAAGAAAAAGAATAGACCGAAGGGAAGAAAACATATCAGGACAACTATGGGGATTTGGAATAATAGAGAAACGATTCGTTAGCCCTTCCAAAAAAAGGGCGACTGGATGGTCTCTCTTATTTCAAATAATATATATAACAACAGAGGGAGATCTATTTGATGACTTAAAAGCACTGACATGAAGGCGAGCTGGCAAAAAATTGGGGTTTTGATTTATTAGAGAGGATTTTATATTACTAATTAAAATAGAATATATTCAAATAGACAGCTTTTTCAACTCCCTAAATATTTGAACAATTTATATTTTAGTAAATACACAGTAGTCTTTCAAAAGCCAGATTAAATATGTTGCCATCAAATACTGTACGATAGATTTTAAAAAAATCCAATTTCTCAATGATTTTGTCCCTGTAATGGTATTGATCCTGAAACAATAAAATACAATATTGTATTGTATTGTGAATTTTACTAGAAACTATATCTGAACTATTGTTCTGGATAGAACATCCAAGTAATCATATCAAAAATTGAAATAGATGTACTATTATATGATAATTTCATACAATAATTTCTTTAAAATAGTGTGAAATTGATTAATTACCTATATTTTATTTATCTCCTTTTAAAAGGAACCTCTTTGCAAGTTTTCAAATCCAGACAGCAATGAAGAAATTAGTTATTCTTGACTTCTACCTCAAACACTCTAATAAAAAGTTTTTAAAAAAAATAATGTTAGCATTTTTAAATATATAAACAAAAAGCCCTCGCTGAGGAACAAATTAGTATGGCTTCCTGCCCCGGGAATTTCTAAAAGTGATATCAAATTGCCTAGCATGAAAATTATGAGAAATGAAGTATTTGCAGAAGGCTTTTTAACTGAAAAACCTTTGCAACCACTTTTATTCATTTCATTCATAAGTGAACAGAACTGAGACAGCTAAATAAATAGAAGGTATTTGAAATGGAGCTGTCTAAGCTGTTTGAACAGGCAAAAAAATGGCAATTATGATTTCCTACATATAGGGGTAACACACTGTACCTTGAAGAGTGATATAATAATTAAACAAAAAACTGAGATCTTGTCATGGTCACTCACTGAATGAACACCTTGGAGCAGATAGCAAAAGAAATAAAACAAGGGCTGACAGAGACCCAGGTTAAGTCTATCCTCAGATATGAACACTTGTTGGGTGACATTTAAGTAGCCATTCTTTCTCCTCTCAGCAAATCTCTCAGGGCTGATGTTGAGGGAAACAACTAGATAGACAATATGTTATATGAAGAATATATTTGACATTCAAACTTGATATACCTTAATACTTTTCATTAACCAGTGGTGCATAGCATTTAAAAGATGTTCCACTAAAGTGTCAGTAGATTTTTTTTCCGTTGAGCCGGATAAATGATTAAAATAGTAAAATGACAGAGGTATTTATAATGATGATGCAGATAAAATGAATACATTTCTATTCAGGAAATCAAATGTCAATAAGTTCAGGGCAAAGAAATATATTGATATCTAATTAATTTATGGAAGTCACTGCTATAGTGTCTGGTGATGAGCACTAGTTTACGGCACTTTTTAAAAAAGTAATAAACAGCTTCAAGAAAGAAAAATCTACTACTCATCATTACCATGAACAGCTAAAGGAAACCTCTCTAGTTAAAAAACAATTTGCCTAGATATCAGGAAAGCTAGGTGTTGTAGCCTTCATATCCCTAGTTGGTAAATCCTATTATTTTCTTACAGATTAATCTGAAAGGGATCTTATGGTTAGACAAACTTTCTATGCAGCTTAAGTTGTGACATGATAATATTCAAGCATTCACAACCAAAGGATTATTTAAAAAGTTGAGCTGGACTAGCAGAACTTGAATTCATTGTTGTCAATCTTTGAATTAATCACCTTACAAATTAAGAATCAGGAAAGTTTTATGAAGCTAAAAGAGTCAACAAGAGTTGAAGTCCTTTGCAGGAAATCTGTGATCAAGAGTTCATCCAGTTATAGCTTTCCATAATTTCTGGGTATGTTGGTTAGTGGGTGTAGCTTAAAAGCAAAGGGTCTACAAAAGCAAGTACTTGCATGCTACAATCAGTGACCACCTTTCTTCAATTGTTTCTGTGCGGCCCACTAGATCTGGCAGGGTAACATACTCTGGTTTCTGTCTATTAAGCAGTGTCACTTGGCAGGACCCAGGAAGTGGGCCTTCTCTGTTGAAGCGCCCACCCTTTTAAACAACATGCACCCTGAGCTTTGTTTAACCCCAGCTCTGCTACCATTTCGTAAGTTCTTGAAGACTGGATGTTCCTCCAGATATGGAGCCTGTAGTTTGGGTGAGCCTGTCGTTGTGGTTTTCTTTGGTATGAGGTGGTGAGGTGGCTGAGCTGATTGGTTTGAGGCGTCACTATGTTATTATTATGTTTTTAGTCATCATTTTTGTTTTGTTGGTTTTTACTTCTGTTCCCCATCCAGAGTTAAGATGGCAAAATGGGTGGCTATATAAAATTAAGAAAATAAATGTTCCCTCCAAGTATTTTGGACCAGAAGCCCTTTCAGACTCTTCCAGTAAAATCCAAGGATTATAGATAATGTTCCAATAATATTTGGAGGAAACCAGATTCCTATTTCTCCACCCACTAGGCTGTTTTCTGCTTCTAACCTGGTCATGGTCAGCAAGAAATTAATGGGAGGTCAAAGAACAGAGGTAGATGGGCCGTATTCTCTACCCACTCCTTCCAAATCTTGTTATAGTTCCTATATTCATCCATCACCGCACTTGGTCTAACTAGACCTTTGAATGTTAAACTCTAAGCTTGCTTTCAGAATAACAGAATAACAAAGTTGGAAGGGACCTTAGAGGTCTTCCAGTCCAACCCCCTGCTCATGCAGGAGACTCTATACCATTTCAGACAAATGGTTGTCCAATCTCTTAAAAACTTCCAGGATTGGAGCATTCACAACTTGTTCCACTGATTAAGTATTCTAACTGTCAGGAAATTTCTCCTTACTTCTAGGTTAGTTCTCTCCTTGATTAGTTTCCATTCATTGCTTCTTGTCCTGCCCTATGGTGCTTTGGAGAATAGGTTGACACCCTCTTCTCTGTGACAGCCCCTCAAATATAGGTAATCCTCGACTTACAACAGCTAGTTTAGTGACTGTTGAAAGTTACAAGGGCACTGAAAAAATGGACTTATGACCCATTTTTCATTTACGACCACTGCAGCATCCTGATGGTCATGTGATCAAAACTCAGATGCTTGGCAACTGACTCATATTTATGACAGTTGCAGTGTCCCCAGGGTCATGAGGCCACCTTTTGTAACCTTCTGACAAGCGAAATCAATGGGGAAGCCAGATGCACTTAACAACCGCGTTACTAACTTAATTGCAGTGATTCACTTAACAACCTTGACAATCTTAAGGCATGTGGACTTCAAGTCCCAGAATTCCACAGCCAGCATTGCTGGCTGTGGAATTCTGGGAGTTGAAGTCCACATGCCTTAAAATTGTCAAGGTTGAGAAACACTGAAGTCTTAACAAGTGTGGCAAGATTATTTATTATTGTGGTTTTTAGTATCGCCTGTTCACCGCCCTGAGTCCCGTAAGGGAGATAGGGCGGTATATAAATTAATTAAATAAATAAATAAATAAATAAATAAATAAATAAATAAATAAATAAATAAATGTCGTAAAACGGGGCAAAATTCACTTTCACAAATGTCTCGTTTAGCAACATCAATGTTGGGCCTCAATTGTTAAGTCGAGAACTACCCGGTAGTAGGAAGACTGCTATCATTATCACCCCTAGTGCTTCTCAAACGTGAACTCTTCCAATGCCCGAGTTATGATTGCTCAAATCCGGACGATCGGGCACGCCGTCCCCTTGCAAAGCACGCCTGGAAATACCCACTCTTGCCGGGCGATGGAGCCCGGCAGCACGAATCCCAGCAGCCTGATCGACCACGGCTGCCGCTTCGAAGAGGCTCTAATAATTCCCTAATTCGCCCGGTCCACCTTAAGAGCGACGCGCGGCCGCGCTAGCCCACCCGCAGGTTCACACACACACACACACACACACCCCGTTTGATTCAACCCAGGGCGGGTTGCCAAGAAACGCGTCCCCGCCCCTCCGTCTGCCAGAGGCCGGGAGAGCAACCGCGGCTTACCCGAAAGGCAGGCGGCCGTGTCGATCCACTTCAGCAGCTGCCCGATGCTGAGCTCCTGGCGGTAGTTGGTGTGGCAGGGCTGCACCATCTGACTCATTTGCACCTCGGTGGCGTTCCGGTAGCCCTCCATGGCGCGCTGCGGAGGGTCCTCCTGGGGAAGCGCCGGGTTTGTTTGAAGGAAGGCGGCGCGAGTGGGAAGGCAGAGCCCGGTGTCGGGAGAAAGAGAACAAAGCGAGTCACTCCTGATGGAAAAAAATCAACCGCAAAACCAGAGCCCTCGCAGCCGCTGGAACCCCCGCTCGCTGCTCATTGGCGATTCCCGGCGATCTCCGGATCCAAGCCGGTCCGCGAATAAAAGCCCAATGCGCCCGCACCCGCCTTCGCAAAGACGGCTGCTCTCGCCTCGGCTGGATCCGAGTCGAACGAAAGTTCCGACTTCGGGACTTGCCTTCTCCCGGTCCGGCTGGGGCAATAATTCGGCCAAGCCAGGAGAAGGGCCGACGATTCTGGAAGTTACATTCCCAATCCAAGAAATCGTGCCCCTCCCCCCGCTTTACTTTTCCACGGGAAACCCTCTCTCCTTTTTTTTTTTGGGGGGGGAGTTAATTAAAGACGGCAGGTAAAATTACCTGAAGGAAAAGTCTGCAGCCCTTTGCATCAATGGCAACAACCACACGCCCCGCACGGGATCCCCTTCCGGGAGAGTGAATTTGCCAAGCAACAGGGCAACCTGAGCTTTCGCGGAAGTTGGGCTGGGTGCGGGCAAAGAATAGAGCAGAGCGGGAAATAGTGAGCAACCCAGGCTTTGCCATCCAACGTTTTCCTCCCGCCTCAAGAATTCTTCTATGCCAGTGTTTCTCAACCTTGACAATTTTAAGGCATGTGGACTTCAACTCCCAGAATTCCTGAGCCAGCATAGCTGCCTACCCCTGCCCTGGTGCAATACAGGTCAAACGATTGAACCCGGATTAATCCCGATTGAACCCGGATTAATCCCAAGAGTTTTAGGAAGGCTACTCCTTATGCCTCTCCCACTAGGAAACCCATTATTTTGATTATACAGTACTTGGAACTATGTCCATTTTTTCTAAGGTGGACTCTGGTGCTCTCCGAACTTGGTTTTTTTTACAGACGTTTTGTTAGCCAATTAGATCATCAGTGCGTGTTGATGATGTTACCTAGTTAGGTAATGAAATGTCTGCAACAAAACCACGAAGCTCAAAGAGCACAAAGGACTCCGCACTTCAACCCTGAGCTACAAATGTTCTCTTCTACAGGTAGTCCTCGATTTACAACAGTTCAGTTAGTGACTGTTCAAAGTTACAATGGCCCTGAAAAAAGTGACTTATGGCCATTTTTCACACTTACGACCCCTGCAGCATCCCCATGGTCACGTTATCAAAATTTGTACGCTTGGCAACTAGTTCATATTTATGACAGTGGCAGGGTCCCAGGGTCATGTGATCACCTTTTGTGACCTGATAAAGCAAAATCAATGGGGAAGCCAGCTTCATTTAACAACCGTGTTACTAACTTAACCGCAGTGATTCACTTAACAACTGTGGCAAGAAAAGTCATAAAACGGGGCAAAATTCACCTAAATATCTCCCTTAGCAACATAAATTTTGGGCTCAATTGTGGTGGTATTGGTTTCTTTTCAAGTGCCTGCATTTTTACGCTGGACACTGACAACGTTTTGTTAGTCCTTAGATCCATCTAAGCAATACTGCATCATTAAAAATGATCATACTCTCTTCCCCAAGAAATATATGTTGATGGTGTTTGACTGTGATTCATACCATATCTAATGTTTCTTCATGGTCATAAGACCAATGTGGAAAACATGATGGATGAGAATGGGAAATTCTTCCTCCTCACTTTTTATTGGTTAATGATGTTTGATACAGACCATACAGTTTCAGGAGTATGAACAGTTCTCTCCCAGAAGACAGGTTTAGCAATAGCACAACAATATTAAGAGCTTTTCTCACACTCCAGGGCACAACACATTTTCTATTTTGTGTCACAGAAGTGTGCAACCTGTGGCCAAGAAGCCTTGAGAGTAAATTTCCAGAGTTGTTAACTGGTTGTAATGTAACAGGAATGGGCCAAATTAAGTACCTGACAGTCCCTCAGCACATTTATCTTTGTAGTAGTAGCAAGAGCGTACAAAACATAGGGTTATAAAGATATTCCCTGACCTTACATTCTCCAATACATTGCAAGGAATACACATAATAAAGTAACAATAATGTCTTAAATGTATTTAATTTGGGGATATACAATTTTCTGATTTTACTATTCCATTCCATATTTTCAGGGTTTTTATAGGTCCCCAAAGTTTCATAAGCGCTGGGCCCTCCATATGTTGTGCCTGATGGATAACACAGGCATGAGTAAAAGAGGGAAATGGCAAGACTATGGAAACCAATTTTAAAAATGTGCAAAATATGCCTTCAAAACCTCTTTACAAAATGTGCCTCCATGTCCTAAAAGTGAAGTGAAGGAGCTGCAGTGCTTTGCTGTAAAACAGGGGTCCCCAACCCCTGGTCCGTGGACTGGTACAGGGCTGCAGCATGCCAGCAACCGGTCTACACAAACAAGCAAAGCCCCATCCACAGGATGCAGGCAGCACACAAAACCACGCACTCTCCGGTCCATGGAAAAACCTCTCTCCATGGATCTGGTCCCTGGTGCCCAACAGGTTGAGGACCTCTGCTCTAAAATACCTGCACAGTCTGGGGGTCTTAATAACCTGGAGAGGTTTCAGTTCTTGCAACAGCCAAATAAGGCCTAACAACAGTAACACAATGTGACTTGATAAAGAAAACTATGTTGCCTCCCTGGTGTAAATTGCACAGTTGGAATTAAACATAGCTTTCATTGGGGATAATTCTACATTTACGATTACTTAAATTTATACCTAAATTAAATACTGATAGTCCTCAACATACAACAGTAGAATAGTCTGTCCTTCACCAGTGGTTGTTATGGGCGCAATTTTGCCCAAAACTGGAAGGGTTGGTTTTCATCCAAGCCATTGTAAACTAACCCTAACCCTTGGTTGGAGAATGCAACACCTCCTTTTTTATAAAGGGCTCACAATCACACGGTCAAATTAGCTGTGCACATAGTTTGGCACTTCCACAAAAAAACTGAAATTACAGGTCGAGCTATTCTAGCTTCTAATATCTATAGATAGTTCTCGACTTACAAGAGTTCATTTAGTGACCATTCAACATTACAATGGCACTGAAAAAAAGTGACTTATAACAGTTTTTCACACTTATGATTCATTTAACAGTTGTGGCAACAAAGGTCATAAAATTGGGCAAAATTCACTTAATCATCTTGCTTAGCAGCAGAAATTTTGGGCTCAACTGTGGTCGTAAGTCAAGGACTACCTGTATACTGACCAGGTACAGTAAGCACAAGCACTCTGATTCCCAAACTGGGCCGGATTAGTGTAGAGAGTACTGTAAGAACACCAAGCAGCTAACAGATTGGTCTAGGTTGGAATCAGACCAAAGGACATGGCTGGGATACCTGTTGTGTAATCCTGTTCAAGGGAGCAATAACAGTCTACAAGAATTGTGCTATCTAAAGGAAGAGATGTCACCTTTGCTCTAACTATTTCCAAATGAGATAGATAGCTTTGAAACAGTCCCATTCTTTCTCAGAAAATTTGTTGCCCAGGTGCGATATGACTAGAGTGCTTTTAGTAGAGTTGTGAAAATGACTTAATTTGTTAAAAAGGGGGAACTGAGAAAACTAAAGGGGCTTCATACACTATACTTTGTTGCATTTGCATTCCTATTCTTCAGAACCAACAAAGGTAGAGAAAAGAAGTCTTTTCATGATTAAGGTAGCTTAATAAGTTACTTTTTCTCACTACCAGAGTTCGAAAAAAGGGTGTGTCTTTTAGCACAAACATTGGTTTCTGATATATATTAACAAGTTAGGTGTGCATATCAGACTAAGCCCATAATATAGCTTCTTTCATTTGGGCATAGCATATTGTATTAACTCATTAATCAGGAAACTAATTCAACATAAATGGATCCAACCAGTTGCCTCCTGTTAAATGTTCCAGAATAATAATTTAAAATACTTGTTGCAGTATTCTGTGTGATGTTTGATACAATCAACAATCCTAGGCTTTCTATCTAATTTTTTTTTAAAGTAGATTTTAAAAAACAAACTTGGATCCCATGCCCTTCCTAAACAAAAACAATCCCATTGAAACAGACAAGGTTTCATATAGGTGAGGACATGAAAAACAAGCAATTATTTGCTTAGTTGAAAACACAAAAGCTGGGATTTGCAGAGAGGTTTAGGTCCTCAACAACCACTGATATTCAGTGACCCTCATAAGCCATAGACACACAAAAAGGGCTGTTCTGGCTTAAGTGTAATTCCAAGGCATGGCCTAACTCAGCATTTCTATATGACCTTGATTTTTAGAAGTATTCTACAAAATGTGGATGAGCCCCATCAAATTAGGACCAGAACTACGCTATTTTAGAAAAACCCTTATTTTTCACTTTGCTTTTGCCTATCTGAATAAAATGCTGGATCTTGGTTCGTGAAAAAAATGCTCCTTTAATATTTCTTTTCTAGACATCACTTGAAGGTGAGCCTTTAAAGATGGCTAATGGTTTTTGAAAGAACTATTACAGATTATTGGGAGTTGAGGTATACTAACAATAAAATCTTTACCCAATTCTAAGCCTAGGTTTAGAGGACTCATCATCTCCAACTCTAGTTTTAAATATTTGAATAAATAATCTGGATATATATACCTGTTCATAATCATAATGGTGGCATATAAATTTAATAAATAATAATAAAAGGTTACGGTTACCACAAATCATGCGTATCTCTATGTTGCTACTGAAGTGCCTTAAAGGGTCCATGTGATGAAAAAAATGCAATGAGTCCAAGACATCTGGGATGATACATTACAAATGTTTGTTAAAACGATATGCAAAACACCTTTAAGAGATAACTTGAACAAAGGAGTAGGAATGACTCATTTACTGTTCAGAATAGATCAGACTGCTTGTCTAAAATCTTATTTCTTCTCTCCTTCTGTATAAATCACCATACCCTTTGAACAACTAATAAGAAATTATTATTTTTTAAAGGACAATTTCTTCCCCCAAATTAAGACAAACTCTTGTCAGAAATAAGGCTCCATAAAATCAACAAGATTTAGTCCTATAAAACTGCAGCCACAATGGTTTAAAATTTGGCCACTAATCTCTTAGTAAACAGCCCTGTGAAAATGATGTCACTTAACCACAGAGGATATGAGCTGTCATTTAAAATATTTTGGGTTCAAACACCATGGAAATGTCTACTTCTTAAGATGGTAATGAGTTACGTACAATACAAAAACTTCACCTCCTCCTAGGCCAGTTATTAACCCATAGAAAAATTAACAGCTTACCTATTTTCACCTTTTATTCCATGATATCACATCCATGAGATGCTTAATCTTAAAAAAATCTCACTATTCTGGCCCACTGAAATAGTCACAAGTGTTCTACCCTCAGACAACCAGGAGGAGCCTTTAGAAGAACATCAAAAGAGAGTCAAGGATTTTCTGTCTTCTTTGACAAGGACATCTGTCCTCCCACTCTC